GCACCGGCCTGTAGTCCCAGCTACTCTAGAGGCTGAGGCAGGAGGACTGCTGGAGGCCAGGGATTTGAGGCTGCAGTAAGCTATGATCGTGCTACTGCATTCTAGCCTAGCTGACATAGAGAGACCCCCAGCTCCAAAAAATAAAACATAACAAAATGAAAAATTATGTTTCCTTCAAAAATAATAAAATTATGTTTTATTATATAGTTATAAAATGCAATCAGTTTGGATCCTTTTTGTTTTTCCTACTGATTTTAAAGAAATCAAAATATTTTTGTGGGCCCCTAAAGCTATTATGGGCTCCAGGCCCTGTGGCCCCTCCTTGTGTAGTTCTAGATGACTGAGGCTGAGAGTTTGGGGAATGGTCATGGATCCCGAGCACCTTCTCTGGGCCCTGGAAGTGCACTTCAGCTGTGTCCCAGGGCAGTCAGGAGAAACTTGCTCTTCTGAAAAGGTGGACAGGTGTAGAAGCTGCCTCCGGGCACATCGCGTGGCTGGGGTACCCAGCCCCTCCTGATCCCAGGCCTGGTTCAGGGAGCAGCCAGTCAGAAGCGAAACCTGCAGTCACAGTGGCTCAAACTGCCTAGAGATTCACGGTGGTAGCCGCTAGGTTGGCTGACCTGATTTTCTGGCCTTGATCACCGAGACTGAAGAGGCACCCCAGAGCCTATGGACATCTGCAGAGCCAGGGAAGCCCTGGGAGGCGGATTTTCTGTGATGGGAGGTCAGGGCTTGAAGTTGGATTAACTTGCATATTTATTTATTTATTGAGGCAGAGTCTTACTCTGTCGCCTAGGCTGGAGTGCAATGGCACAATCTCAGCTCACTGCAACCTCTGCTTCCTGAGTTCAAGCAATTCTTGTGCCTCAGCCTCCTGAGTAGCTGGGGGTACAGGCACGAGCCACCACGCCTGGCTACTTTTTATATTTTTAGTAGAATGGGATTTCACCATGTTGACAGGCTGGTCTCCAGCTCCTGACCTCAAGTGATCCATCCCCTTGGTCTCCCCAATGTGCCTGGGATTATATAGGTGTGAGCCACCATGCCTGGCCTAATTCACATATTTAAAAAGTGACTGTTTTGTTTGCTGGGGCTGTAGGTCACCGACGCTACCGTATACCCAGAAGAAACATCATTCATTCACTCATTCATTCTTCCCACATTCACTGAGCAACTTCCTACTGTGCAGTCCCATGATAGGATTGGGAACATAGAGATAATAAGACCACGTTCAGCCGTGAGGAGCTTCCTGCTGGACCAGGGTGGTGGTCCCTTGGAGATAGTCTCTCCCTTGGAGAGATGGGCCAGGCGTGGAGTTCTGGGTGAGAAGAGACTGGTTCTGGTGGGGGTCTGATGGGGGCAGGCGGGAAAAAGATTCCTTCTGTAGATCCATGTCCAGAGACAAGATCTGAGGCCTCGAGGCTGAGAGAATGCCAGGATCACCCCGTCCACTGCTAGACCCTAGGATTTTCAGGGCCTGGAGTGGGGTCTCCCAGGACCCAGGACTTCAAAGTCCTTGAGCCACTTGGGGCCAGACTGTGCTGGAAAAATAACCAGGGCCGACTTGGCAGAGGCAGCTGGAAAGGGCTGGGGGACGTGGTCAGGTGGTGCCCTAGGGCCTCGGAAGGAGCAATGCCAAGGTGGGGGTGGGGCGGGAGTAGAGCCTGAGAAAAGAGGCAGGTGTCACTGGCCGGGGCTGGGATTTTGTGGCCGCTGGGACAGGACTCTCGGCGGCAGCTGTACATCTTGGTGGCCACTAAGGGAGCCAGCTGAGGGGAGCTGGCAGCGCTTCTCCTCCCAAACCAGATGGAAGCACTGGGGTTAGAGAGGATGTAGAGCCAGTGAGGGGTTGGCGTTCATCGAGGGGGTGTGGTTAGAGAGAAGTAGAGGTTCCATGGGGATTTGGAGCTGGGACTCATGCGAAAGGGAAGGTTGTGGAGACAGGAACCTGGGGAGTTTTTAAGTGAGGTCTTGCTCTGTCTCTCAGGCTGGAGTGCAATGGCGTGATCATAGCTCCCACTGCAGCCTTGAACCACCAGGCTTAATTGATCCTCCTCCTGACCTCTGCGTAGCTGCCCAGCTAGTTGTTTTAAATTTTTTTTTCTAGAGATGAGGTCTACTTCATGTTGCCCAGGCTAGTCTTGAATTACTGGACTCAAGTGATCCTTCTACCTCAGCCTCCAAAGTGCTGGAATTACGGGCATGAGACACTGTGCCCGGCCTGAGGGTTTAAGGGAGTCTCTCTCTTGGTGCTGGAGATCCTCCGGTCCCTTTCGCCTCAACTTCCTTTCACTGCAGGCTGAGTTGGTCTTGTGCAGGCAAGGCTGGGGGCTCTGACAGGTGAGACCCTTGGTGGAAACCCTGGCATGAGACAGCTGGCCCTGGTCTCTCACGGTCCAAAGACTCGAGGCCCATGGCCATAGCAGATTAGGTGCTTCCTTTTCAATATGATTTGTTATCATATTTTGTAGAGATCAGGTCTCACTGTGTTGCCCAGACTGGTCTGGAATTCCTGGCTTCAAGTGATCCTTCCACCTCGACCTCCCAAAGTGCTGGGATTACAAGTGTGAGCCACCATGCATTCTTTCAGCGTCCCTGTCCCTTGTTCCTGAAGCCCTTTCCAGCAGGATGTCAGGGATACAGATGTTCCTCCCTTGGGGAAGGCGTTTTGAAAGGCAGTGTAAGACTGAAGGTCCCAAGGATTGGTGGTGGTGTACAGTCTCAGACCCTGGCTCAGCACGTGGGGAGGACTGCCTTTCCCAGGCATCCCGGCTGCTGTGAGTACCACCCCTGGCCTGGGGCAACAATGCCCAGCCTAATCGAACTCAGCTCCCACACCCTCCTCGGGAGAACCCCAGACCACTTGCCCATACTCATGGAGATAGATGGAGACTGAGACCCAGTGAGGACCTGATGTGTCTAAAGCCTCACACAGAGAGCTGCTGGTGTCACCCATGCACCCCTGGGTTTTTCAGCTGTGAAGAACTTTGGGTATCCTGGCAGGGTGCTTGGGAGTCTCTGGGGTGCACAAGCCATAATTCCCAGGGCCTTAATGCCACTGCAGCCACCATGTGGCAGCCGGAAGGGGCAGCCCTCCTCTGCTCACCTGGCAGGTTTACGAGCCTGATCTCCACAGCCATGTGCCACCATGCCCGGCTAATTTTTGTATTTTTGGTGGAGATGGAGTTCCACCATGTTGGCCAGGCTGGTCTTGAACTTCTGACCTCAGGTGATCCACCCGCCTTGGCCTCCCAAAGAGCTGGGATTACAGGCGTGAGCCACAGCGCGCCCAGCCGCCTCCTGTTCTTATCTACAGAAGAGGGAGTAAAATATCACCCCTTGCATGAGCTGGTTGCAAGGATTCAAATGAGTTAATAGACACAAAGCGCCTAGACTGGTGCCTGGTGACAGCGTCTGCGCATCCAACACCAACCCCTCCACGAAGGGGCGGGTCCCCTCTCCTCCCAGGCTCTAGCCACCCTGTCCCACCCAGTGACCTTGTCATTTCCCTGCCTCTGTCAGAACCATACACACATAAGAATATAGAATTTATCTTCTTTTAGTTAAAAAAATCATTGTACCATAGAATGAACAAGTAGCCCCCACTTTTTGCAGGGCGGGGAAGGGAAGGTGAGAAGGGGGAAAAAAAAATAAAAGCCCAAAGAAAAAAACATTTTATATTCACATCTGCTTATAAACATATCCGCTAAGGCAAAACGAATCCGAGGCCGAGACTGCTGCGCTGGGCTCGGTGCCTCCTAATCTGCAGATTCTAAAGTAAAATAAAGCCTCTGCATTTCCGCGTAGCAGGGACTCCTGGGACATTTTACTAAAATAAAGAGTTATCAGGTTTAAAAGCAGTGACGCCGTTATGACACACACTGAAAGTTGCGTAACTGTAGCCTCAGGGAGCCACTGACTTATTTGGACTAGTGATAGTCACAGTTTCAGCCCAGCAACAGACACCACACAGGCATCGTATGTCCAGCAAGCACGTGGAAGCTGTGGCGAACTGGGCCGGGCATGACAGGCAGGTCGCTGGTGACAAAGGCTGATGGACATCACTTGGGAAGGATGGCAGAAGGGCTGGACAAGGCCCCACTGCCCACCGCCTGGCGCGCATGCAAACACACTTAAGCACTTCTCGGACACTTCTCCCAGAGAATCAAGATGGGCGCTTGTTTCCTTCCTGAGAGGCGCGCCAAGTCTTCCCCTCCCACCCCTCTCTCTCCAGAGCCCCCTGGGACCCTCAGGCCGTTCTGCGTGGGTGCTAAGGAGCGGTGTCTCCGACCCTCAGAGCCTTCCCTGCCCAGGATCCCATGGCATGCCCGGCAGAGGTGGCGTGTGGTGGGTGGCACAGCTGCCCCACCTACCTGGCTGGGCCCCAGAGATCTGGGGGTCTCACGTCAGCATGGGATGCTGAGTCTAAAGTCCCTTCACCAGAACAGAAGCTCCCCACACCCTCTCCCCATTTCAGAGAGAAGTAGATGGAAGGAGGCAGTGGAAGGAAAAGCCCCTGAGGGAGGGTCCCCTGCGTGCCTCAATAAGCCCCTTAGGTTCCACTCTGTGGGGGCAGCCCTGATTCTCTCTCTTCTGCTATCTCAGTCTGAGGAAGGGGCTGGCAGAGGCCGGGCGTGCCGCCCCTGCTGGAGAGGGCAGGAGTTTGAGGTCGGGATGGAGATGGTGGAGGGCTTAGGCATGGGTCCCAGGGGAGGGACCTGAGTGCCAGGCTGGGCAGGGCAGTGCTGGAGCAGGTAGCGAGGGCAGTCAGGGTGCAAGACAGCCCAGGTTGCCAGGGAGGCAGGGCCAGGCAGGGAGGCGTGTAGTGGCCTCGCAAGGCGCAGGAAGGGAGGCGGGGAGGGCGTGGCCCTCCGTGAGACCCCTGAACTTGCTCCATTCACAGACATTTTTAGGTTTTTAGTAGTGGTCCCGTCAGACAGAGCGGTCAGGCTGGGCCTCCCATCGCCGCCCTCGCCCACCGCTGGGGCGGGCAGGAGTGGTCAATGCAGCCCGCTCGCCGCGTGGACTGCAGCTCCTTGAAGGCGCTTTCGCTGCTTCATCTCCTCCGCTTCCTTCAACTTCCGTTCCTCCTGCTCCGCGCCCGATCTCCTTGAAGCGGCTGAACCGCGTTGATAGCCTGGACCTGCCCAGGGGAGTATGGGGGAGAGGTCAGGGCTGGATGGTGTGTTGAAGTCTGTGCTGGCTGCTTTTCCTTTTTTTTTTTTTGAGCCAGATCTGTCTGTCCTTCAGGCTGAAGTCCTGTGGCGCAGTGCCTTAGCTCACTGCAACCTCCGAGGGTGCAGGAGGCACGGTCAGAATGGCAGGAGGCGGCCTGGGTGTTGGGAAGTGGCGCAGTGCTGCAGGGGAGTGGCGGACACTGGCGGGGCGCGAAGCGGGAACAAGCATCGGGCGATAGAGATGCCTCCCCTCCGCCCTGCACACTCAAGTTCTCTCTTTTTTCTACCACCACAACCTGGCAGACACAGGGATGGGGTTGGAGGCAAGTCCCTCTTGACCGGCTTCTGTGTAGTAAGAGCCTCGTGGCCTCTCTGCCTGTTCCCTGGCTGGGGCTTCCACTCGTTGCTGGGCACACAGCCTGGTGAAAGAGGGCGCTGTTGCCCAGCTGGGCTCTAACACCAACCAAACACCTGCCCTACTGGTCTCTGGGAACAGCGTGGGAAGAAGACAAGGCGAGGGCTGAGGAGAGTGATCCTGTCTTGGTAAAATGGGCTTTTCTTTTCTTTGGGGCCAGGTGTCACTGTTGCCCAGGCGCGATCTGGCACCTGCAGCCTCTGCCTCCTAAGGTGGTCTCAAGCAATCCTCCCACCTCAGCCTCCCAAGTAGCTGGGACTGCAGGTACATGCCACCATGCCCGGCCAACTTTTTGTAGTTTTGTAGAATGGTGCATGTTGTTCAGGCTGCTCTCGAACTCCTGGGGCTCAGCCACTCAAGCAATCCTCCCACCAGCCTCCTAGAGTGCTGGGATTCACAGCGTGTGCCTCTGTGCCCAGCCACAATGGTTTTTCTGCACCTAAACGCCTTCTGCAGCCCTTAAGACCTTGAACTCGCTGGGTGACAGTGCTGGTGACAGCAGCAAAACACAGTGGCCCGTGTTCCAGAACTCTATGTCCTGGACACTTGAGCTTCTGAGTGAACGTGTCATTTGTGCACCTTTTCCAGCTGGGGAGCTCCAGCCACCTTCTCTAGGTAGGTGTGCTTTGAATACCTAATAGCAACCACGTAATGAAATGTGTCTTTACGCTGCAAACTGCTTACTTAATACTTTTAATAGCTTACTCATTTTATAAGGCTCAGAAGTTAAAGTGACCCCACAATCACACAGCAGTAAGGCTGAGTCTCCAGACTAGGTCTCTCTGGGTTCCTAAACTGCCATTTGCTGTGCCCAGTCCCTCCCCATCATAAGGCCACTGCCCAGAGACAGACGATGCCTGGAGTGAGGAGGGCATTTTTGCGAAGGATATAAGTACTTTGCAAGCCAGTGACTCTCAGTGGTTGTGTCCCTAGAATTGGTGTGCTCTTGGTCTCAAACTCCAAGAATGAAATCGTGGACCCTTGTGGTGTTACAGTTCTTAGAGATGGCGTGGCCGGAGTTTGTTCTTTCACCCCGTTCATTATGTGTCTGGAGCTTCTTCCTTTCGGTAGGTTTGAGTTCTTGTCATCAAGAGTGAAATTGCAGAGCTGCGGGATGACTGTTACAGTTCTTAAACGCACCGTGTCTGGAGTTGTTCATTCTTCCCAGTATGTTCATGGTCTTGTTGGCGTCAGAAGTAAAGTTGCAGACCTCGCAATAAACAACGGCTCAAAACACAGCATTCAACCAGAATCATCACCAACATTTATTGCAAAGTAAAAGAATAAACCTTCCACAGCTAAAGACTACATCTGATCTCGGTTGTTGCTGGTAGCGCAGGCGGTCTGCTTTATTCCTTATCTGACCCCACCCACATCTTGCTGATTGGTCTATTTACAGAAGAAGCTGTTAGTCCATTTTACAGAGAGCTGATTGGTCCATTTACAGAGAGCTGATTAGTCCATTTGACAGAGTTCTGATTAGTGCGTTTACAATCCTTGAGCTAGACAGAGTCACAGAGTGCTAGTCCTCCAAGCCTGCACTAGGTTAGCTAGATACACAGTACCAATTGGTGTATTCACAAACCCTGAGCTAGACACAGAGTGCTGATTGAATTTAGCCATTTACAAACCCTGAGCTAGACACACAGAGTGCTGATTGCTGCTTTTACAATCATGAGTCAGACACAGAGTCACAGAGTGCTAGTCCTCCAAGTCTCCACTAGCTTAGCTAGATACAGAGTGCTGATTGGTGCATAATCCCCGCTAGATATAAAAGTTCTCAAGTTCACATTCTGTTCAGTAGTCAGCTGGCTTCACTCAGTGGATCCTGCATTGGGGGCTGCAAGCCCAGGCTGCCAGCAGTCTGAGCTGCGCTTGCACTCGTCAGCCCTTGGGCTGTCAATGGGCCTCAGCGGCTTGGAGCAGGAGGCACCTGTTGGGAGGCTCAGGCCGCGAGCCACCGCAGCTGGGGGCTGGGGTCCCGAGCCCTGCCTCAGCGAGGCAGCTACGCAGCGGGAATTTCAGTGCAGCGCCAGCTGACCGGCACTGCTGAGGGGGGATCTGGCGCAACCTCCGCAGCTGCTGGCCCGGGTGCCAAGCCCCTCACTGTCCAGGGCCTGTGGTGCGGCTGGCGGCCGCTCCGTGCGGGGCCGCGGAGCCAGCGCCGCGCCTGCGCCTGCTGGAACTCGCACCGGCCCGCGGCGCCACACGCAGCCAGCCTCAGTTCCGCCCGCGCCTCTCCTCCACTGCCCGCCCAAGCAGAGGCGACTCCCGGCCTCAGCCAGCCCAGTGAGGAGCTCCCCGTGCTGTGGCGGGCTGAAGGAGCTCTCAAGTGCCGCCAGAGTGGACGCCGAGGCTGAGGAGCGCTGACAGTGAGGGCTGTTAGCACATTGTCACCTCTCAGTTGGAAGTGACGCAGCACAGAAAAGATGGGTCTTGGGATTCCTGGAGGGAACACAAGTCCTGGGGCCTTCTGTCCCACTGGTGGGTGAGGGCTGGGGTGGAGGCGGATGGGCCAGTGGCCCCTGTGGGCAATGGCCACCTCCAGCAGTAGAAGGTGGGGGACTCAGAGGTCAGGCAGGCCAAAGCTTCTGCTGCAGTCAACCTCTATCTGGAGCTGGAGGGGCTGTGAGGCCCTTCCTGTCATCTCTGGACTTTGTTTGCCTGGTGGAGGGCTGGGTAGGTGCCACATGACCGCAGCACTGTGCAGGGGAGCACCTGGTGAGGACTCAGTGCTTTCTGAGCCAAGCCACGAGAGCTCCCCTCCTCAGTGCCCCCGAAAGGAAAGCCCCTGCCGCTTTCTGACCTCTCGGGCTCCCAGGAAGGTCAGCGATGACAATCGGGCTCTGGAGAAAGTGCCTGGGCTCCTCAGCCACAAAATGCAGCATCTTAAGCTGGGTGCATCTGGCAATATCTGGGAATGTTTTGGTTGTCATACCTGGGGCGAAGTGCGGTGGCATCTGGTGGGTGGAGGCCAGGAAGCTCCATGGCGCACAGAGGTGGCCCCACCACAAGGCAGCCTGGCCGGCCGGGCGCGGTGGCTCACGCCTGTAATCTCAGCACTTTGGGAGGCTGGGGCAGGCAGATCACGAGGTCAGGAGATCAAGACCATCCTGGCCAACATGGTGAAACCGTCTCTATTACAAATACACAAATTAGCTGGGCATGGTGGCAAGCACCTGCAATCCCTGCTACTTGGGAGGCTGAGGCAGGAGAATGGCTTAAACACAGGAGGAGGAGGTTGCAGTGAGCTGAAATCGTGCCACTGCACTCCAACCTGGGCGACTCCGTCTCAAAAAAAAAAAAAAAAAAAAAAAAAAAAACAAAAAAAAAAAAACCTGGCTCAAGTGCCAGTGTGCTGAGGAGCTCAGAATTTGCAATAGGACTCTCTCATGAGACCACTGTGAGGAATGATTGAACCCATCCCTGTCAAAGCACTCAGCACAGCTCCCAGAGCACAGAGCTAGCTGCATAAATGGCAGTCGCCGCCACTAAAACAAGATTGAATCACCTCCACTAACCTCCTGACCAGACATACTTTCTCTTTACAACCCCTGTGCTCCCAGCAATCCTCCAGGTCCGGATTAGGTCAGAAGAGGCTGTTATCCGTGGGAGCCACCAGCCCCTAACAGCAAGTCAGGGAGTTCCCAGCCTAATCAAACTCCAGCTCCCACACCCTCCTGGGAAGACCCCCAGACCCTTGCCCACCCTCGCATGGAACAGATGGGAGACTGAGACAGTGGGGACCTGATGTGTCCTAAAGCCACACACAAGGCTGCACAGTGTCGCCCCATCACCCCTGGGTTTTCCAGCCTGTGGAAGACTTTGGGTGTCTCCTGGCAGGCGCTTGGGAGTCTCTGGGGTGCACAAGCCATAATTCCCAGGGCCTTAATGCCACTGCTGGCCACCATGTGGCCTTGTGGAGGAAAGGCAGCCTCCTCTCTGCTCACCTGGCAGGTTTAGAGGCCGTGACCTCCACAGCCTAGGCCCTGCCTCTTGCCGCCCCACTCGCCTGTATGTCTCTGAGAGACTTGAGCCTCCCTGTTTTGTTTTGTTTTGTTTTGTTTTTTGAGATAAATTTGTTTGTCACCCAGGCTGGAGTACAATGGTGCGATCTTGGCTGACTGCAACACCTCTGCCTCCCGGGTTCAAGCAATTCGCCAGCCTCAGCCTCCTGAGTAGCTGGGATTACAGGCATGTGCCACCACGCCTGGCTAATTTTTGTATTTTTGGTGGAGATGGGGTTCCACCATGTTGGCCAGGCTGGTCTCGAACTCCTGACCTCAGGTGATCCACCTGCCTTGGCCTGCCAAGGTGCTGGGATTACAGGTGTGAGTCACTGTGCCCAGCCGCCTCCCTGTTCTTATCTGCAAAGAAAGAATAAAATATCACCTTGCATGGGCTAGTTGCAAAGATTCAAATGAGTTAATAGACACAAAGCGCCTAGACTGGTGCCTGGTGACAGCGTCTGCGCATCCAACACCAACCTCCTCCACCGGGGGCGGAGTCCCCCTCTCCTCCCAGGCTCTGACATCACTGTCCCCACACCCAGTGACCTTGTCATTTCCCTGCCCACTCAGCATCAAGAACCATACACACATAGAATATAGGAATTTTATCTTCTTTTAGTTAAAATAGCTCTCGTACCATGCGGAATGAAGTAGCTTTTTTTTTTTGCGGGGGGTGGGACGGAGGAAGGGGAAGGTGAGAAGGGGAAAAAAACAAAAGCCCAAAAGGAAAAAAGCATTTTATATTCATCTGTATAAACATATCCGCTAAGGCAAACGCAATCCGGGGCCAAGGCTGCTGCGCTGGAAGCAAGTGCCTCCTAATTTCTGCAGATTCTAAGGCCAAAAAATAAAACCTCTGCAAGTCCGCGTAGGTTCGAGGACTCCTGGGACATTTTACTAAAATAAAGAGTTATCAGTTTAAAAGCAGTGACGCCGTTATGACACACACTGAAAGTTGCATAACTGTGGCCTCGAGGGCCACTGACTTGTTTGGACTGAGTGATGGTCACGGTTTTCACGACACAGCAACAGACACCACACACAGGCACACGTATGTCAGCAGCACGTGGAAGCTGTGTGGCCGAACCGGAGCGGTGGCGTGGACTGGGCAGCTGCCTGTCCAGTCCCCCATGTGGAGCATGACAGGCAGGTCGCTGGTGACAAGGCGGTGGACATCACTTGGGGAAGGATGGCAGGAGAGGGCTGGACAGGGCCCGCCCCTTCTTACTGCCTGAGCGCATGCAAACACACTTAAAGCACTTCTCAGACGCTTCTCAGAGAATCAAGATGAAGCGCTCGTTCCTTCCTAGGAAGGCGCCAAGTCTTCTCCCACCCCACTCTCCAGAGCCCCTGGGACCCTCAGGCTGTTCTGCGTGGAGTGCTAAGGGCGGTGTCTCGACCCCCAGAGCCTTCCTGCCCAGGATCCACGGCAAGCCCGGCAGAGGTGGGCGTGTGAGGTAGATTGGCACAGCTGCCCCCACACCCTGCCTGGCTGGCCCCAGAGATCTGGGGGTCTCCAGAATCAACATGGGGGGCAGGGAGCCTAGATCCTTCACCCAGAATAGAAGCTCCCACACCCTCTCCCATTTCAGTAGATGGAAGAGGCAGAGGCGGAGGAAGAGCCCCTGGGAGAGTCCCCTCATGCCTCCAACAAGCCCCTTGGGTCCCACTCTGTGGGGGCAGCTTTGATTCTCTCTCTTCTGCTATCTCCCAGTCTGGGAAGGGGCTGGCAGAGGCCCAGGCGGTGCCACCACCTGCTGGAGGAGGAGCAGGGTTCCCAGGTCTGGGGGGCCCGGGGATGGTGGAGGCAGGCACATGGGAGCGGGAGGACCCTGGGGCCAGGAACTGGGCCAGGGGCAGTGCTGGAGCAGGTAGCGGGGCAGTCAGGGGTGCAAGACAGCCCAGGGATTGCTAGGGAGGGCCGGGCCAGGCAGGGAGCGGTGTTGCGTACCTGCGCAAAGAACAGAGGGAGTGGGGAGGGCCGGGGCCATCTCCGTGAGACCCCTGAACTTGCTCCATTCACCACAGACATTTTAGGTTTTTAGTAGTGGTCCCATCAGACAGGGAGGCAGGATTCAGGCTCAGCCTCCCATGCGCCACCTCGCCCACCGCTGGGGCCGGAGCAGGGCGGTCGGTGCAGCCCCGCTATGGCGTGGACTGCAGCTCCTTGAAGAGGCCGCTTTCCGCTGCTTCATCTCCTCCGCCTGCTTCTTCCGTTCCTCCTGCTCCGCCTTGATCTCCTCCTCGAAGCGGCTGGACACGTTGATGGCCTGGACCTGTGGGGGTATGGGGGGAGGGGTCAGGGCTGGATGGTGTATGTTGGGGAGTCTCCGTGCTACAGCTGCTTTTCCTTTTTAATTTTTTTGAGACAGAGTCTCGCTCTGTTGCCAGGCTGGAGTGCAAGAGCGCAATCCTCGGTTCTGCTGCAACCTCTGCCTTCCAGGTTCAAGTGATTCTCCTGCCTCAGCCTCTCGAGTAGCTGGGTTTATGGGCGAACTCCACCATGCCCGGCTAATTTTTGTATTTTTAGTAGAGATGGGGTTTCACCATGTTGGCCATGTGGCTGGTCTTGAACTCCTGACCTCAGGTGATCCACCCACCTCAGCCTTCCAAAGTGCTGGGATTACAGGCGTGAGCCACTGTGCCCAGCCTTATGGCTGCTTTTCCTGGGGTCCCTTCTGGCTCAGGCTTCTGCCGAGTCCTACCCAGCAACACAAACAGCTTGGCCGCTGTGCTCTGGCTGGTCAGGCGCTTCATTCACCTTCCTCAGCCTCAGTTTCCTCACTAGAACCTGGCACCCAATAACTCTGATCTTATGGAGTTGTCGAGAGGATTGAAAGAGGGAACATATATTCTGTGGCTGCTGCAGAGCAAGGCTGCTCGAAGGGCGTCATAAGCGCTGCCATCCTGATCCTCTGCTTCTGTCCGGAGGCAGTGAAAGCCCACCAGTGGCACCCAGTGAACCCTGAAAAGTTCCACAATGCTCGGAAGCCCAGAGGGAGGTGGGAGGCAGTCTCTGGAAGCAACGTTCTTGGCTTAGCAAGGAAAGAGAGAAACAAGGCGGGAGAGCTGGGGCCCTGGGTGGGCCAGGACCAGGAGCCACCAAACCACAGGTGTCCCTTCCATCTGAGAACTTGCTGAAAGGGGAGGGTATTGTGCATACAGGTGGTCTCTGAGCCCCCAGGCTTCCTCCCAGGCTGGAGCTGGTAGGACAGGTGTCTGCCGGGGACCCTGGAGGAGACCAGTGCTGTGTTCTCCTGGGCCCTTCCTCCTAAGGCCAGTCCTCTGGGTTAGCGGCTCGGTGTGCAGGACCAGGGCACTCGAGATAGTCCCTGTCCCATTTTGAAGAGTACATGTCCCTCACCTATCCTCTGGTGGCTGCCAAGGATCTCAGCCAGGAGTAGGGCACAGAGACAGAGCGTGTGGGCCTGGCCCAGCCTGGCAGAGTAGCTCCCATCTCTGCAGCCTCAGCAGGGACAGGAAGGGGGCGTATTAACCGGCGCTGACCCAGGGTCCTTGTCCTGGAGTGTGGGTCAGGGCACCCCTGGGCTCCTCACGCCGGCCTCAAAGAAGCTCTTGGCCCCTTAGCGCCCTCACTGGAGGCGGCTCGATCTCTCGGAGGCGGGCCAGCACGCACAACCGCTGTCCTCCTGAAGCTCCCCGACCGCTGCCTTGCGAGAGATCAGGAGGAACTGCGGTGGGGAGGCGCACGGTGTCAGGAGGGGAGGGAGGGAGGAGCCAGGTCCTGGCCATACCCAGGCCCCAGCCTCAGGCCTCCTGCAGAGAAGGACTGGGGGCAGTGAGCTGGAGTCTTGCCCCTTGGTGCTACTGTGCTCACCCTCACTGGGCCTTTGCCCATCTGTACGATGGAAGGTGACTCATGTACCCACCCAGGATGCTGGGCTACTGCAGCCTGCCCTGCCACGCAGCTCCCGGCGACACGGCCTCAACCTACCTCTTACCTCTGTCTCCCACTGTTCCCGAGACCTACTCTGTGTTCATGTTGAGTCCTGAAGGTGTCATGACAGAATGAGCCTCCCAGACAGTAAAACACGCCCAAAGTTTCAGTGCCTAAAAGTGTCGGAGGGATTCGAACCCTGCTCTCTAACTTCTAAGCTGTTACCCTGCACTGACCACCTCCTCCTAGCCACTCACACACTGCCCCACGTGCCTGCCTTCTCTCCTTCCCTCGTCCTTCATGCTTCTGCCAGACTCCTGGAGGCCGCCGAGGCCTCGAGTCCTCACACCTAACCCTGTGCTGCCTGGAGTCCGGTATCATTGCTGTCTGGCTTGGGGCCTCCATTTCCTTCCTACACGAAACAGGCTTGCCCCAGCTCCTGTCTCGAGTGAGATCCTGGGCATGAAGAAGTCGCCCAGTGCTGTAACCCTCTTCTCGGCGTCACAGCCCTGAGATTTCCCTCTGTGGTGTCTCCCCTCTACACTTCCAGGGAGAACCTTCCTTCAGGGCCTTTCTACCCAGAGCCTGCACAGGGTCAAGTATACAGAAATCGCTCAATATAAGCTCCCTATGTGAAGGAGGGGATGTCCCTCTCTCCTCTTCCTCCCTGAAGGGACCCACAACCCTCTCTGGTGCCCGCTCTGACAGGCCCTCTGAAGCCTCACTCGGCCGGGTGAGTGGCAGCTGCTCAGAGCTGCTGTTCAATGGCGATGCTGTTCATTCACTGACAGAGGGTGGGGTGAGTCTCTCCCGCGCCACCAGGTCCTCCCAGGTGAAGCCCCTGGTCGACTTACCTCCCGGAAGCTCAGCTTGCTGTCAAAGTCCTCATCCACCTCCTTGATCATGTTTTCAGGCCCAGGTAGGTCTGAGGGGCCCCAAGTTTCTCCATCATGAGCTTTAGCTCCATGGGTCGATCGAAGCCGTCCCGCCCAGCATCATACCTAGAGGTGCAAGAGAGGACATCTTGTACTGAAAACAGTCAGAGAGGCTGCAGGCTTGAGCGCAAGGAGACTGGGGGACCAGAGGGCATCTCCCCACCAAACATATACATCCCATCACTGCCGGGGAAGGGACCTCCGAGGTCAAGGCAGGACCCTATATGTGGCTCAGCTCCTGCTTGAATTACCTCTGATGACAGGAGACTCACCACAGGAGCCTGGCAGCCTCCTGCACGTAGAATAGCACTAACTTCTGGACAAGCCTGAGGCACGAGGAAGCTGAAATGACAGCCTCCGTGTGCTGACTGTGATAAGCCCAGACAGTGAGAAGAAATTCTCTCTTTTTTTTTGAGATAGAGTCTTGCTCTATTTTCAGGCTGGAGCGGTGGCTCAATCGGCTCATTGCAACCTGCAACTCGCGAGTTCAACCAGTTCTCCTCAACCTCAGTAGCTGGGACTACAGGTGTGCATCACCACACAGCTAACTTTTGTATTTTAGCAGATTCAGTTTCACCATGCTGGCCAGGCTGGTCTTGAACTCCTGACTTCAAGTGATCCACCCACCTTGGCCTCCCAAAGTACTGGGATGACAGGAGTAAGCCACCGTGCCCAGCCGAGAAGGAATTCTCAGCCACCCATGGCAGGGTGGGAATCAGGCTCTGAGCTGAGCACTCAACCTCCATGACCAGCGGGCTTACTGAAATCTCCATAGGCACTTGGGGACATCTCACACCCCACCTAGATGGTAGAACATTGCGAGCAAGGGCATGGTTTCTCAACCTCAAACCTTAAACAATCTGGACAGAATAAATCCTTGCCGTAGAGGCTGTCCTGTGCATTGTGGGAGGTTTTTCTGGCCAACGCTCCCTCCTGAGTTGTGACAGTGAAAATGTCTCTGAACATTGTCAAATGTCCCCAGGGGGAAAAAGCATTCCTGTTGAGAAGCACCGGAATGGGGGGATGGCGTGGGTGTGGGAAGGTGCCCTCTTTCCATGTGATAAATGACTCTTCTTATAAGCACCCTCTGTACTGGGAGTCTATTTCATACCCCCACCAGCTTACCTAGGTACTGGAAGAGGATTAAAAGCATACAGTAGGTGCTCAAAAATGTGTAATGAAGAAATAGGACGTGAATAAATGAAGAAATTATCTAAGGCAGGGTCTCTGCCTTTGTGGAGACACAGAGCAGGAGGGGCAGGTGGCAGGGGCGGCTGGGTGTGTTCAGGAAGTGTGGCGCAGTGCCTGCAGGGAGTGGTGGAGACTGACGGGGCAGTGGGAAGCTGGGAACAAGCATCGGGGCGATACAGATGCCTCCCCTCCGCCCTGCCTCAGGTTCTCTTTTTCTACCGTCACAACCTGGCAGAGACAGGGATGGGGTTGGAGGCAAGTCCCTCTTGACCGGCTTCTGTGTAGTAAGAGCCTAGGTGGCCTCTCTGCCTGTTCCCTGGCTGAGAGGCACCACTGGTTCCTGGAACACACAGCCTGGTGAAAGTAGCGCTGTTTGCCAGCTGGGCTCTCTTACCAACCAAACACCTGCCCTACTGGTCTCTGGGAATAGCATGGGAGGAAGACAAGATGGGGGCTGGGGAGAGTGATCCCTGTGTTGGTAAAATGGGCTTTTCTTTTTCTTTCTTTTCTTTGGTTAGGTGTCACTGTTGCCCAGAACACGATCACAGCTTACTGCAGCCTCTACCTCCTGGTCTCAAGGGTCCCTCCCACCTCAGCCTTCCAGTAGCTGGGACTGTGAGGTGCAGCATGCTACCATGCCTGGCCAATTTGTGCTAATTTTTTTGTAGAGATGTGGTATCAGTATGTTGTTCAGGCTCGTCTCGAACTCCTGGGCTCAAGCAGCCTCCCTCAGCCTCCTAGACTGCTGGGATGACAGGCGTGCGTCACTTTGCCCAGTCAAAATGTTTTTTTCTACACCTAAAGAAGCGTTATGCAGTCCCTAAGGCCTTGAGTTGGCTGGGTGACAGTGCTGGTGACAGCAGCGTGCCCCGAGGCCTGTAATCCCCCAGAACCCAATGTCCTGGGCGCTTGAGCTTTTGCATGAAGATGTCTCATGTGTGCACCTTCTTCCCAGCTCATCTTCTCTAGTTAGGTGTACTTTAAACACCTGATAGCAACCAGGTACTGAAATCTGTCTTGTCTGGGGAGACTGCTTACTTTGCTTAATCCTCCTGTAACTGTAGTTTACAACCAGGCTCAGAGGTTAAGTGACCCACCCACAGTCACACAGCAGTAAGGAGGAGCTGGGCTTCAGACTGAGTCCGCTGGACTCATAAACTTGCACATTTGCTCTGTACCCAGCCCCTCCCCTGTGTGTCCTGGGGCCGCTGCAGAACACAGACGCTGCCTGGAGCACGAGGGGAGCATTTGTGCGAGGGGTATAAATAGTTCACCAGCCAGTGAGTCAGTGGTTGGAAGTGACACAGCACAGAAAAGATGGGTCTTGGGAGCCCTGGAGAACACACAGGGTCCTGGGCATGCACCCCACTGGCGGAGTGAGGCTGGGGTGAGGCGGATGGGCCAGCGGCCCCTGTCAGAGCAGTGGCCACCTCTGTAGCAGTAGAAGGTGTGGGACTCAGAGGGGTCAGACGGAGGCCAGGCTGCTGCAGTCAGCCCTCTGCACCTGGAGCTGAAGGGAGCTCTGGGGGAGCTGGCGAGGCCTTCCTGTCATCTCTGGACTTTGTTTGCTGCCTGGTGGAGGGCTGGGCAGGTGCCACATGACCATGGCTGTGCCCAGGGGCACAAGTGAGGACTCAGTGCCCTGAGCCAAGTCACGAGGACTCCCCTCCTCAGTGCCCCCCACGAAAGCAAAGCCCCTGACACCTTCTGACCTTGGGCTCCCAGGAAGGTCAGCGATGACAGTCGGGCTCTGGAGAGAAATTGCCTGGGCTCCTCAGCCACAAAATGCAGCATCTCTTAAGCTGGGGTGCATGTGCCCCCAGGGACATCTGGCAATGTCTACAGATGTTTTGGTTTGTCATACCTGTTGAGGTGCAGTGGCATCTGGTGGAGGTGGAGGCCAGGAAGCTCCATGACGCACAGGGTGGCCTACAAAAGAATGACCCACCAGCCGGCCCGGGCGTGGTGGCTCACGCCTGTGATCCCAGCACTTTGGGAGGCTGAGGCGGGCAGATCATGGGAGTCAGGAGATCAAGACCATCCCGGGCCAACATGGTGAAACCCGTCTCTATTACAAATACACAAATTAGCTGGGCATGGTGGCAGGCACCTGTAATCCCTGCTACTTGGGAGACTGAGGCAGGAGAATCACTTAAACACAGGAGCGGAGGTTGCAGTGAGCTGAGCTTGTGCCACTGCACTCCAGCCTGGGTGACAAAGTGAGACTCTGCCTTAAAAAAAAAAAAAAGGAATGACCTGGCCCCAAGAAGTGCCAGTGGTGCTGAGGCTGAGAACCCTGCTGCAAGGGGGCCTCTCTCATGGGCCACTGTGAGGAATATTTCAGGCCCATCCCTGTCAAGCACTCCAGCACAGTCCCAGAGCACAGAGCTAGCTGCATAAATGGCAGTCGCCGTCACTAAAACAAGATTGAATCACCTCCACTAACCTCCTGGCCAGGCAGCACTTTCTCTTTACAACTGTGCTCAGCAATCCTTCAGGTCAGTTAGGTCAGGAGGGCTGTTGTTAATTCAGGACCACCAGCCCTAACCAGCAGGTCAGGGTTCATGTCCCAGCCCCTGGAGTGCTGATCTCTCTCTCAGCCCCAGGTTTACCTATTGTTCAAGTGCATGGGTTTCTTCTGCAGCCAGGGGCAGCTCAGTTCAGAGGAAGTGCGGATAAAGTGTCCAAACTTGGATGGAAATGTGGGCTGTGGATCCCTGTCTTTAGCAGCTCCCAGGCCTGGCTGGGCCGCAGCTCAAACCACGTTGAATAGCCACATCTATCAATCAGGGCCAATCAATTACTGAGGCTGGAGGCTCCATCCAGGGCAGGCTCGGGCCCCCAGGGGGATAATATAGGGAGCTGGCTGTGGTGCCAAAGAGTCCATCACCAGAGGAGGTGACTGGGGCTGCGAGAGGCCAGGTGCTGGGGGTGGGAGTGAAGCCCCCAGAGGTAGCCGTGGAGGAGGCCGTTCCCAAGAGACTCCTGGAGAATGGCCATCTGCCCGGTGCCTGGGCTCTGGTGTGGTCTAGTGCAGGGGATCAGCCAGGTTCAGGTCGACCTGATTGAAGATGGCCTTGAGGGTTTGTGGTTACATCAACTGTGCTACTAGACTGACCTGGGTCCAAACCCCAGCTCTGCCACCTGCTGGCAGAATAACCCTGGTTAAGTCATCTAACCCCATAGACCTCAGTTTCCTCATCTACATCATGGAGATCAAAGAACTCATCTCAGGATGGAGGCAAGGATTAAAAGAGGCAGTAAAACAGACTCTTAGCACAGAGCCTGGTCCACAGGAAGCACTTCATACACGCCTACTATGATACTAAAAACCAGTTATTATTATTCCTAACATCCACCTTTAAGATTATTAAAGAGTAAATGAGGCTGGACGCCATGGCTCACGCCTATAATGCCAGCATTTTGGGAGGCTGAGTTGGGAGGATCACTTGAGCCCAGGAGTTTAGAGAGACCAGCTTAGGCAAGATAGGCCAAGACCACATCTCTATAAAAAAATAAAGGGTCGGGCATGGTGGCTCACACCTGTAATCCCAGCATTTTGGGAGGCTGAGGCAGGTGGATCACCTGAGGTCAGAAGTTTGAGACCAGCCTGGACAACATGGTGAAGCCCATATCTACTAAAAAAAACCAAAAGAATTAGCTGGGCGTGGTGGTGTGTGCCTGTGATCCCAGCTACTTGGGAGGCTGAGGCAGGAATTGCTTGAACCCAGGAGGTGGAGGTTGCAGTGAGCCAAGAACATGCCACTGCACTCCAGCCTGGGCATCAGAGTGAGACTTCATCTCCAAAAGAAAGAGGATAACTGGGAATGAAGTTTGGATTAAGCAAACAGGACTGCCTTCTGTACTTGGGTACC